TTTACTAAACTGGCGAAGTAAGACATTGTATCTCTTTAATAAGCTATATTTTTTTATTTAAGGCTTATTTTTGTTTAATTCTAATTTGATACTAGTTTGTAGATCAAGCGTAGAGGTCTTAGTAGATTTCATGACCTTGAATGGCCAAAATCTATGGATCTTGACCAATTTAGAATGTCCTTGAACATCAACTTTAAAACTGGCCGAATTTATACAGCTATATTTATCCTTAATTGGAGTCATGACTTCATTGTTTAAATCTCCCTACTTTGCATTACATCTCCCCAAGAAACAAGCCCTAACTTATCTCTTACCGGTATCAGATCCTGTTAATCAGAACTTTCACTTGTTTTCATGGCCTAATCACTTCTTATTCTAAACTACTTACTTAATCTATCTGTCCGAAAATATATCTATTCAATCCAGGAATAATGCTCACAAGAAATCGAAACCCCTATCTCCTTAGTCAGTTGGCACAGTCTCTAACCATTATAATGTTTGTTTGTTTATTTAGTTGTAGTGCCCATACTAGCGCTCGAATGGTAGCTCATCCTACAGGTTTGTAACCCGCCCTAGACATAGTGTGGATTTCAAAATTTATTCTATAGGCTAAATTGATAAGGAATAATTTTTTTTTTAAACTTATTTATTGATAAATATTTCAATCTGTCTTAAGGACAGATCAGGAATAATAGAAATCATTTATAAACAATTTTTTTTTTCATTAGTATATATTAATTTGAAAACAAAGTTTTCATTGATTCGTTTTCTTATGTTTTCTATTTTCTGAGATTCGTAAAAGGTGTGATTGAAGTGTTATTCATACAGGCGATGTGTTATCAGCCTTCAGAAGAAAAATAATGTTTAAATGGTGACTTTGAAAGTCTCTTATTCTTTATTCTGCTCTTCTCTTGTCGCATTTAGCTAAAGTTTTGTTCTACCATTCCAAAATTAAATAAAAGATCTTTATAAAAAAAATATTTTTCTTTTTTTTTCTTTTTCAAGCCTCTACCGTCCAGGGTCATTGGCGTTTTACAAAAATTTATATTATTTTAAAATACTTTGTTAACTTCAACAATGTAACCAAATAGTGACTCGTTCCTCAGTATATTGTAGGATTGCTTTTAATGTTTTGGCTAAGCCTGTTTTTCTTGTGTACTTTTCAAATTGGGTACATTCTTCCAGTAAGTGTTTCACTGTCTATGGAACGTCATTGTATTTTTTACACGTGTTCGTTTCGATTCCTCTCAGAAAGTAGCCATGTGTAAACTGGCAGTGTCCTATCCTTAGTCGGCAAAGTCAGTCGGTTTTACTTTGGTCAGTTTGCATTCTTTTCTTTTATATTCTTTCTCTCATTATTTAAGTAGTCTTATTTTTTAAGCCAGTCTTCTGTGGTATTTTCATCTTATCAACTTTAACTTTCTTTAATCTTATCACCGCCATTTCTTCTTCAATTCTGGTAAAACGGGGTGTTTTGTCAGCTTTTTCGTTTCCCACAATGCAGCAGTGGGCTGGTATCCAAAGGAATACCATTGATATGTTCTTGTTTTTTACTTCCCACCATACATTTATTATTTCTTTAATAATAGAATTACTTTGGGGTTGGTTGTCGATGCCGGGTAAGACACTGCAAAACAATAGAAGAAAAAACCCTCTCCTTTGACTATCCCCACCAGGGCGATATAAGTCAGCCCCTCAAGAAATGACGTAGGGAAAACTCTAAAATATCAGGACAACTTAATTTTCTCTGAAAAATTAATACGATACTGAATAATGGAAATTTAATGGAGGACTCAGTAAGGTAACAATCAATTGCATATAATGAATAATGTTACATATATGAGAGGTTTTTAAAGGAATACACAGATCTATGTAGATTGAAATTGTATGACATGGATCGTCGGATTGATTAATTATGTAAAATAAATTTTTTGTAAATGTGCGTGTAAACTAACAATAACATTAAAATTTTTACAAACTTGAAAATGGCCTAGTGATGGCCGAAACTTTGTCGTAATAAAATAATTAATAAATAAAATGTTGGTGAATAACGGCCTAATTTATATAAAAACAAAATCTACATTTAATTATCTCTTGAAACATTTGCATTAGTTTTCTATTATTGAGTCGTATTATATAGGAAGATCATGCAAGATTTTCTTAAAATAATCCTTTTGGGAGTACTCAATAGATTGTTAAAACACTAAAACGATTTGACGTTTTTGATCTTGATTCGAAATAAGTTCTGAAAATCAAATTTCTAGAGATATTACATTATTATTATTATTATTATCCGTACATATATTATTACAGTAAGGCTCGAAATCGGTTTTGTACCAAATATAAGTTCCATGCTCAAATACCATGAATAGGGTACCTTTGGATTCAGAATTTCACGAGGGGTTAGCGAATCGTATTTTCCGCTTTTGTTTTTCTTTCTAAAATAAATAAAGTCGATACAAATATTTTTCTAGGCTTCAATACTGGAACGGTGGTAGGTCTGTAGATCGATACGGAAAAACTGGACCTTAAAGATTTTGATGCGTAAAGCAAAACCCAGATAGATCCTCCGGAACTATCGGATCCTGCGTTTTTAAGCCCAAAAACGTACTATTTTCGAGATAAGACAAGGCATAGGGTTCGCATCCACACAACCTTACGTTAATTGTAGTACTGTCATTGAATACATGCCTCATTTCGTCGATTTGAGGTCTCTATGATCGAGAGAGGAGGAGTTTATATTATTTAGCGATGGTGTTATTGATACCATACCATAGTAAATTTTTCAACAAATCTCAAGATTGAGCCACCAATTTCGAATGCTTCCTTCTCCTTCAGGTGGACAAAATAGTCCAATCACTCCGGAAATTCAGGCAAACAAGTTATGAAGGAAAATAAACTTTATTTGAGAATAACTAAAACATTACACACTTTTCCCTTGGTTATGCCAGTGATTATAGAAAAGATTACTTAATTCCCTACAAAAGGAAAAAAAATCATTGAAATCGGACAATTTTTAGCAAAGATACAGCTTACTGAAATTTGTAAACATGTTGGTTCCAAACAAAAATGAAGATTTAGATTAATTTTTGTTTTCTGTGTCGATTATATTTATCGATAAAGTAACATTTGATTTCTTTATCTTTTGATAGGTTGAATTTTTTTATTTTATTATTAATCTGGCATTTGATAACAATATACTGTGCGAATTTTTCGCACGGGCCTACTAGTTATTATTATTATTATTATGTTACTGCAAGATGTCCTAGTTTATGAAAATATATCGGACACCAGTCACCTGCGTGGTTACCGGATATCGATTCAGAGAATTCATGAATATCCGTGCGATATTATATGAATTTTGTTTCCGCCTCTCGAATATAAATTCAACATGAATTTTGTATGTTCAATCGCTAACAGAATGTTCATTACTGCGTTGGAAACAAACCTCACCCAGCCGGCAAACAGATAACAATTTATCCACTATACTCGGGACCAGCTGAAGAGAAATGCAAATACCATACCGCATTACAAAAACACGCAATTGATTAAACAAATGGCCGTTAATAAACTGCTAATCACCATAAGTACCTCCGGGGATAAATAAAGTGTATTCTGTGTAAAGTGTATTCTGCAACGCCTGTGTATTTATCTAATCCTACCTATCTATACCGTTGGGATAATTAACATCACCTTTGCCATTGTTTTGAGAAAGTTCGACGAAAGAGGAAATTATTAAAGTTAATTAGCGTATTGATAGACAATTGATTATTTGAATATTTACTAATGCATTAGTTCATAGTTGATCTATCAGTAAGTCGTATATCCACAATATTGTTTAAATTACATTCCGCTTATGCTAGTTGAGTTTTATCCAAAAAAAAGATACCTGTAATCATCATGCACAAATGAATAAACAAGAAATTGTTCGATGTTTTCGACTAAATCATTTCTTACTCATTAATTAGTGAAAAAACCCTCGAAGCCAATAAATTATGATAATATCATGGTCATTCCCCCATATATTATTATACTAAAGTTTGAAATCGCTTTTGTACCAAATATAAACTCCTGTGATGCTTAGATGCTCTGAAATGAATAAAATACCGTTGGATTCAGAATTTCATGAGGGGTTAATTCACCATACTTTCTGCTTTTGTTTTTCTTTCTAAAATAAATAAAGTCGATATGAACATTTCGCAAGGCTTCTGGGGAATACGGGAGCAGCGGATCGAAACAGGAGAGATTGAGATCTGAAGACTTTAATCTGGATATCAGGACGTCGGAACTAACGTGCCCGGCGTTTTAAGGCCAAAAAATGTAGATACGTGTAGGAGATAATGTGAGGAAAAGGATGGGCAGCCACACAACCCCACGTTGATTGAAGTGCCATCAAGGGATATATGTCTCATGTCATCGACTTGAGATCCCTACGATCGGTAAACCATATCTTCGTTAACTGTTCATCAAATAAAAAGATTGAGCCTTCATTTTGAGGATTTTAAGGATTTCTTTCTCCTACAGGTGGGAAAAATAGTCAAATCATCCTGAAAATTCATGCAAAAAAATCATTACGAAACGAAAAAAATGGAAATTAATTAGAAAATTTTCCAAATACATTTTTTATTTTTGGGTTATATTCTTTAGGAGAGCTCAATTTCTACCGTTGTATGTTTCCCAACTGTTCTCACACCCAGCACTATTTCGTAACTAAAATACATCGTTGATCATATTCACCTCATATATAGACGCCTGTACAGTTTAACTGCCCATAAGAAGGAGGTAAGCTACCTAACAGGATCATGATGTCCCATTTATTAAATCTCAATTCCTACAAGAGATCGTATCGCCGGCGGGATATGGAAAATCAAAGAAGTTGTTTACAATGTCGGTTGGGAGGATATTGATGAAGCAAGTTGATGGGCGAACAAGCTGGAAGTCGCACGACAGTCGTTGCGCCTTGTTCAGTGCGGCTGGCTCGACCAGATTGAACATGTAAACTATAGCTCACCCCTTGTTACCGATGTCCAATGAACTGTATCCTGTTTCTTCAGCCAATCGCTCTGTTGGCGTTCCACCAATTGATAGGGATCGGTGGAATTGGAATGGTGTGTTAGTATAACAGAGCTGTTATAGAGAGCGATTTGACCGAATTTGAACGGTTTAATGACGGATTCCTGGATATGCAAAGACAATTTGTCTTGGTAAACCTAACAATTAAGTACTAGACAGAGAGCTAGAAAAAAATTCACGTATAAATATTTAGCTTTTTTAAGGAACTCCATAATACCGATAGAAGCTCTTGTCTAAACTAAGTGACCAGTCGTTCTCCGATGGGACTTTGAACTGGTCCTGGTTGCTCGGTATGTGAAGTATTCCCAAAGGATCTCTCGCCAAATATTTTTTATATTTTCATGAATTATATAAATCAATCCTTCTGGTGTCCATGAAATAAAGGATTTTCTGGAAAACATCGGTAAAGTATCGCACTGCACACTTATGCCTTATAATGCCACTGATAGCTACATCATCACTCTATTAAAACTAATTAAATTTAATAATATAATGAATGATTAGAAGAAAAAACCTAAGGGTTTGTAGTTTTTTTATTATTCAGCTTTTGTTATCAATGGACTCATAATAAAGACCCCACAGAATATGAAAATAAAAATATAGTTGTTTCCTTTATGTTTTCGCGTTATTTTTATCCTACTTCCTGAAGAATCCAACTTTTTATTTTGGATTCATTGAATAAAAAAACAACTAAAAATAATAATGCCCATTTTTTCCTGACCTACTTTAATGATGTAATACATTTTTGCGAATTTAAATCCTCCATTCATTATAATACGTATTCTTTTTTTTTTCGATAATAATTCATTCATCAACGTTTCAAGTATTCCCACATCTTTTGGAAGTTTTCTTATATTATTTACAACAGTCACTTTTATTATACTATTGATGTCACTTATTTTGTAAAAATCCAAGGAGATTTCGTCATGAAAATGTTGAGTGTTCCTCGAATGTTGAACTTGTATAATTCCTAAAGTAATAGTAATGAAATAAAATATATGGATGGAAAGTTGGTTGGGGTTCTAGTCACAATGATAAAATAAAAAGGTTGTATTATCTTTTATGGCTACTTTTGGGCCTAAATTTCAGACCATCGTCAGGGCTGAGGAAAAACATGATAATAAAAGAAAACACACTACAACTAATAAAGAACGTTTGTTTGATATCTTGCCCTTCCTGAACCCTAAAGAACGCCTCAAACCTAGTCCGAAACTATGGAATTTAAGAAAATATTCTTCTTTTTCTCTGTGACTGCGATTCCCGACATGTTATTTACAGCCAGCTGTTTACCCACCATTAAAAATATTTTAATAATTTATAAATTAAATATTTTTGAGGAATAGTATCAAAATTGCAGAATTTAAATAAATGCCAATAAATCTCTTCAAATTATCTTTACCTTTTCTTAGTAAACCTTTGACTTCCTTTCTTACAGTATATTTTAACAATACCCAACTTATCCCTTTTGAACAAATTCGATACCTATAAATCGATACTGTAGAAACGTATATCTTGGAATCCTCATACCAGACTGAAACGACAAGAAACCGCTCGACGTTTCCGACCAGTTAAGCACTTAATAGACAAACCCTCTGAGCTTCCAATTGATTACAAAAGACTCATATACATGACTATAATAAGGCCTATTCGGACATACCGAGTTGAGCTTTGGGACTCTACAAAACCATCGAATTCCTCTCGTATCCAATCCTTATACTCCAAAATCCTTCGTAAAATCTTCAACGCTCCTTACTTTGTTACAAAATCATCCATAGCGATCTTAACATTCCATATGTTTCCGATTGGGCCCAATCCAGATACCTATCCTTCCATAGTAAACTTCTGAACCATTCTAATCCTCTCGTTTCTAACCTTGCTTCCTTTTCGGTCCCTGATAACCTAATCTCCTAATTTAGATGCTTTATTAGAGTGCTAATAATGGGTAAATTCTCTACAAGTCTTTTTGTGGCATTGTATTTATCTGTATCACATTTACTTACTGTATATTTATTTTTACACTGTGGTAAATTTCATGAGTAAAAAAAATATTTATAAATAAGAATGAAGATTTTATTATTTTAAGTTATTTTATTCTTTACCTGCATTTTAGATAAGCAAATCAGTTTGGTGGAGATTTTCCTGTTATAACTTAATTTTACTTTATTATTATATAATAAAATAACTTTTCTTTTACTTTATGTTTGTTAATTTTTGTTTAATGAACATACATTTCTGCCAATAATACTTGTTTATTTCAATGTTCCTTAATATTTCTTTTGCGTTGATATCTAGTTTCCCTCTTCGGTGTTATGCACTCAGGGTACTGCACCGTAATGCACTGTCCTGTCGCTCTCTCTCTCTCTCTCTCGTTCCCTCTCGAAATCCATCGACGTTTGTTTTAAATTGAACCAGAACCCCCTCGCCTCGTGAAAAGAGTCAATACGGACCGACAACACAAATAAACAGGGACTACGTGAGGGGGAGTTTTTAAAAATATCTTCGAATTTTCCGCCTCTACTGCGAGCCGCGTTTATTATAAGCGTTACTGTTTTCCCTTCGTTAATTTGGAAACCGGCCGTTGTGAAAATGCTAACAGGAAAATTCACAATTTTCAATAAAGGCCTCACCGGTTCAAACTGTTGCCAATGAAAACTGCTGGAAAACTTTATTATGGTCATGTAATAGATATTTGAAAGGATTCAATTGGTCGCAATAACGTTCATAACGTTTTCATAAAATTTCCAATATAGACATCACATCTGCAATATTCCACCATATTTTTCTTATAACAGGATATTATTTAGTATATGTTCAAATTTTAATTTAAAACGTTATTATACAGTGTTAAGTATTACATATTTGTCGTGTTAAATTTATCATAAATTCACAAAATTATGCGAAATACCAAAAAGTCCCAACGTAGCGGAAATTAACAATGATGTTACAGAACCAGGATTTTAATTAAACAGCTGATTAACAAAAAATAATGGATGAAAAAAGATGTAATTTCCAACACAAATTTCATAAATACGCCAAAAAAAATATAAATATTAAGGACAAAATAATAATATAATAATAGTAAAGGAAAACCAAAGAAAATTGAAAATGCACATCAAGGAAAGGCTATCATCAAAAACATCTGATCGTGCATACAAATTTTTATTTTTTTAACTTTTATTATGATATTTACAACGGTATTAGTATGAATACATCAAGTAAATGTGTACATAGGAATATTATCACATGAAACACGCTTGTTGAGAAACTACCCATTGGTAGCATTCTAATGATTTTTATTTTAAAAATCTTCATTTTTTTGGAACATATTCATACAATTGGTGTTCGTACCTATATTTTTTTTTCATTTTTCCACTTTTTTCTGATCGGCTGTTTGGTTATAATCTTCCTCAGCTTTGGTACCTTACCTTTTCTACCAGTATATGGTTGGATGTCATGGAGGTATTTTGTCTTAAGTTTCTTTTCTTTTCTGTCTTCTGTCGATGATGCTTGAATTGGTGAAAAGTTGATAGTTTTGTTATTCTTTACCTGAATTTTAGAGACGCAAGGCTACGTGTTGGAATGCTACGTTGGAAGGCTGCGTTGGAATTCTCCAATTATCACCTAAGATCAATATTCAGTCTCCCTGTGATTTTTTAGAGTTTTTATACTTGCATATAATTTTTCGTAAAGAAACAGTAGAATACATTATGCAAAAACCTATTTATATAACAAGCACGTGTTCAAAGGGGTCCAGTTAATTTCAGTCAAATAAACTCCAAAATTCACAGCTGAAAATTTTTCAAACAGGAAACAACAATTAGGTAAACCAAGTTTTCCTTCTTTTTTTTGGTGTTAATTTTTCTATTTTCCCTGTATTTTAAAGGGATGAGGTTGAGTAGTTGGAATTTTTCGAATTATAGTCTAACATTGTTATTCTATTATATATATATATATATATATATATATATATATATATATATATATATATATATATATATATATATATATATATATATAACAAAAAAGTAAAATAAAAGTAAAACTTGGTTTACCTAATTGTTATTTCCTGTTAGAAAAATATTCAGCTGCGAATTTCAACTTAATTTGAATGTGAAATTAACTGGGCCCCTTTGATTATATATATACATATATATATATATATACATATATATATATATATACATATATATATATATATATATATATATATATATATATATATATATATATAAATCATATACATAACGACCCGATTTGGGTGGCCGTCCACCAGAGAAAGCCACGCTGCTCGAGATCCCTCCTCCGGCTATGTGAGTCCCTTCAGGCTACTGGAGGCAACTCACAGCGACCGGGCGTAGGATTGATGATCCTACCCCGTGTACGTAAATCAGGTAACGGGATGTGGTATAGAAGAATATATATAACAAATAATAATAAAAGGCTTTGCGAACCCGCAGGTTCGATGTCGACGCCGCCATTCAGATCGACCAATTGGGACAGTAGATATTAACCTTTTAGGAATTCTTTCGTTACAACTCCAAAAATTTTACAAGCCCATTTAATTCGCCAAGCAATTTAGTTTTTTTCAGTTTAATTTTTTTCTAGTTAGCAACGGTAATGGGATCCGTCTGATAATTAAAAGTACTGTATATATATATATATATATATATATATATATATATATATATATATATATATTCAGAATGAAATTAATAATACCACGATCCAACGGAAGCCGTGCAGTATCGATTCCCATACGAATTTTCCCCAGGTTGCACTAAAAACAGGGAACACTCTGGCATCGAAAACGGCAGAGGATGAATTTTTGATGCGGGCCGTGCACTTGTTCGATCCCTCCCCTGCCATTTTTGCACTCCTCTGACCTACATGCATGTTCAGCTCTGGCGAAATTTATAAATGCAAAGTGCAACACAGCTACCCAATTAGCGCTTTAATGCAATCTTTTATATAACATCCACCTGTTAAATTTCCAATATCTTTCTTTACATCGTACGTGTAAATATTTCAAGAGGATTCGAAAGAAGAAATATTTCAACAGGAATGAAGCTATCGTAATTTTTTTTTTCGATTGTAATACTAAGAA